TGTATGGTGCATGGGCAGAAGACAAATTCAAAATTACAGATATATTGGGAATTATCTTGTTCAAGCATCTGCCAGATAGGACTGAAGTTACCCCACCTAGACAAAGGGATGTGGTTCTGCCTCCTTGATGGTACTTCCAACATACATTAAGAGACAGTGGGAATACTTTTACATGAAAAACCATCAAGCTAACAAGGGGAGGAGATAACCACTCAGCATCACGGCAAGAGTAAGCGATTGCAGGAACAGATACATTCATTTGCATTTTAGCAAACACCAGTATGGAGAGAAATCGGCATAGAAACTCCTTCTCCAGCAAACTCCATGCCTCCTTTCTCACAGCTTGAAGGAACTTTACTGTGGGGGTGAGGGGGTAAAGCACCAGAAGAATCCATTTCAAAGGTTAATTGGACTATAAAATCAAGTGTCAAAGAACCCCAAATTAAGATGGCAATAGAACCAAGCACTTCAGACTTTGTGGAAGATCCTGAACAGAGGGTTCGTCAGCCATTTGCTGGAAGATAGATTGGTAAAGAAACTACCTTAAACAAAGGCTTGTTGTGTTAAGTCTTAGCCATTAGGAAGTGTTTTTTTCACTTTTATTTGCTTATAACCATTTCTAACACTATCTTTTATACTTGAACTCACTTAATATCCTAAATCCTTTTGTAAATAAATTTGTTTTACTTTTAATGTAAACCAACCCAGTGATGTGTTTGAATTAAAGTGACCTAGTTAATGCCAAAGTGATAACCTGAGCATTTTGTCTCTTTAGAGGAGAAAAACTTAATTATTCCTCTGAATGGTCCGGGAGAGGGCTGGACATTGTCAAGCAATTCAGGACTGGCATAGGCGCTGACTCTGTGGGTGCTCTGGGACTGAAGCATATACGGAAAAAAAATAGTGGGTGCTCAGCACCCACTGGCAGCTCCTCGATCAGTTCCTACTCCCTGCCCACACTTCCCAACTGCTGGTGATCAGCTGTTCAATGGTGGGCAGGAGCCACTAGGGGGGAAGGGGAGGGGTGAGAGCCAGGCACGCTCAGGGGAAGGAATGGAACAGGGTGGGAACAGGAGGGCAGGGATGGGGTTTGAAGGAAGAGGTAGAGTGGGAGTCAAGCACCCCCTGGCAATTCAGAAAAATGGCATGTCTGGGGTGCTAATTGCCAGGTATAACCAATGCTGGCATTAACTAGAGCATTGCTGGGATGTAACAAGCAGACTGCTGGAATCAGAGTTGCTGGTTCAGAGATGCTTGTCACACAGACACTCAGGGCATGCTTGTCTGTGGGCTGTCAGCATCCAACCTGTGAGCCACAGCAGCAGAGCATTGAAGGCACTCAGGGTTACAGGGCAGGTGGTGACACAGGTCCTCACTGGTCTGGGATGCAATCCAGAATGACAGGTACTCACCCAGGATGTAGGAAATCCCCAGTTCAAGTATCCCCTCCTCATGAGGGGGAGAGGGGATTTGAACAGGGATATGACGCCTCTCAGGTAAGTGCCCTAACCACTACACTAAAGATTATAAGGGAGCTCCTCCTCCTCTCCCCTCCCCTCCCCCAGATATTTTGTGTGAGGGGCTCAATCCAATAGGTGGACTCTGAGCTCACCTACCATATCAGGCCCCCAGACACTACTTAGGTGGCTGAACACTTATCTTCCCCAGTTCATGAAAAGGATGCAGTACACGTTCTCAGAGGCAGAAACATAGGTTCCTTGGGAGCTTTTCCTGTAAAAACTTAAGTGCCAAGTGAGGTTAGTTGTTCACAGGATTAGGTGGCAGCCAAGCCAGAGTTTTGTGGTGCCTAAAAATGGGACTCAGGCACATGAGTACCTTAGAGGATCACATCCAAAAGCCTTTGTCCCACTTACATAGCTAGTGCTTTCAAATTTCTTCAAAAGTCTGTACAAACACTGAATCAAATCCAGCTTGCCTTACTCATGCAAGTAGCCCCTCTGCTGTAACCGAGAGCAAAATTTGACACAAGTAGACTACTTATAGGAATACGGCAAACAGGATTTTGTTGATTAGTTTGTTAATCCTCATAATACCCCTGGGAGTTAGGTCATTTAATTTTGAAAAAAGTTAAATTTTCTTAAATATGGGCAACATTTTGGGTGAAATTTAGGACCATTTTCAATCAAAGCTGCACTGACAATTTAAAAAACAAGCAAAATTTACACGTCTCTTTATTTTAGATGTGAAAACACCTCATTCACAAAATTTCATGAAAAAATGACATTTTTCAGACACAAAACTGCCTAAAATTAAATTATGAAAAAAAAATCCAAACAGCTTTCACACAGATTTGCATGATCCTAGTATAAAACATGGTGGTGGTCTGAGTGGAATTCCTTGTGGACAGATGTCCACATCATAATACAAATCACCACTGGCAGTGTCAGCAGAAAAGACCAAGGACTGAATGGGTATGGAGACAACACTCCTTCAAAACCATCCTGAGGAGCAGTGGTGGAGCAATGTAGGGAAGTTTCCATTGCTGTACATGTTCTGGACTTTAATAAAGGACTTCAGTCTTCAAGACATGATTTAGAGCCTCCAAGAAACTAAACTTTACAGGAGACTTTCCTTTCGAAGCTAAGCAACAGCCTCCATTGTTTTAGGCTGCACCGTAAATCATCAGCACCTGAGTTATGCATAATGAACAAAAGACTAAGATGCATAATAGCATCAAAATCAATTTGAGATCTCATTAAAAACTGTAAAGAATAATACTAGTGCTACGATTAAAAGTATTAAAGAGAGTAAGCATCTTTTCGTATTCTAAATTAATAAAATATTGTTTAAGTGAAGTGCTCTGATAGTAATAGATGGGCAGGGCATTGGTGTCACAGAATAATATAATATTAAAGAAGTGCTTCAAAACAATCTAAACATTTAAGTGGATTCTAAAATTACAACCCACTAAACACTAGAGAGTATATTTCCCTTTTCAATATATGCCTAATTCCCAACAACATTAATAAGCATTCCATACTTGGATTGGGCCAAAATCTGTCTCAGTTAAAAGCACCCAACTCCCACAAAAGGACACTTTGTGCATATGTGTACAGCATTTGTCTTTAAGAGAGGATAATACACCTATAAATCTTACTGGTGAGTTCTAACGCACAGGACATTTATTAACTTTAGATATCCATGTATATGCAAGTTAATTTAAAGTGCCTGATAAAGTTGTGGGAAACTCTCTCATTCAAACCAATTTTTAAAATTCATCTAACTGTTCCTAGTTTCATGCCTATTGCATTTTTTGTACTGTGTGCTTTGTATTACTAAGGACCCAGTTTTGATAGCCCTATGTTTATAGAACAAGTCAAACCTGCTGAAGTAAATAGGATTTCTGAAAATTAAGGATTTGCAGTATTGTCTGTAATATGTTTTAGAATGTTTTAAATGTATTATTGTATAGCAATTTGAGCACTTTGGTGGGGTGTTTTATAAATAATAAAATTATTATTTATTTATTACTGTGAAGGGTTTTTTATAAGATGACAAAAGCATAATGGCATAATATCAGTAAAATCATATTGACTATCTCACCAAAATGATTAGCAGAGACTGAGTACTTCATTTTGCACGGCTGACAACTTAACAACCATTCATTATCCTTTACTATTGTCAACACAACCAAGTTTTTAAATACCCAAAGGGGAGAAACAATTAGTGAAAGTTATTATATAATAATTAATATATTTTACAGACCAGACTGCTATCTATAGTGAAGAGGGAGTAGATAATTTAAATTATGTAACCTTAAGGAAGCAGAGTCAGACAGAACAAGGTATACCTCAGACTTCAATGTATTTTCTGCTCCTGTACAGATAACAACTTAAAGAAAAAACATTGTTTTAAATGACAGGTTTCAGAGGAACAGCCGTGTTAGTCTGTATTCGCAAAAAGAAAAGGAGTACTTGTGGCACCTTAGAGACTAACCAATTTATTTGAGCATGAGCTTTCGTGAGCTACAGCTCACTTCATCAGATGTATACCGTGGAAACTGCAGCAGACTTTATATACACACAGAGAATATGAAACAATACCTCCTCCCACCCCACTGTCCGGTGGAGGGTGAGAAAACCTGGATTTGTGCTGGAAATGGCCCACCTGTTGATCACTTTAGATAAGCTATTACCAGCAGGACAGTGGGGTGGGAGGAGGTATTGTTTCATATTCTCTGTGTGTATATAAAGTCTGCTGCAGTTTCCACGGTATACATCTGATGAAGTGAGCTGTAGCTCACGAAAGCTCATGCTCAAATAAATTGGTTAGTCTCTAAGGTGCCACAAGTACTCCTTTTCTTATTGTTTTAAATAAATCACACTAGTTTTGATGCATATTGTATGCCAAATCCTGTTTGCTTTACCCACTGGGCCTCATTCTGTTCTCATTTTATACCAAGCTAACTCCATAGGCCTGATTTACACCAGGATAAGGGGGATCAGAATCATGGTCACTGACTCCAAGAGGGCACTCAGGCCCTTGCAGGATCGGAACATCTATGATTAACTGTCCACTTTTTCATTTAAAACTGACTGTGGGTTTGTTTGTTTTTTTAAATGGGATGTGTGATGTTGGAAAGGTTTTCTCTACAAATGAACTGAAAACTAGCATGCGATTGTATTTCATGTTCTATAATAGGTTGATTGGTAAATAACTCGTTAGCGGTTTTCACTGCAACTTCAAGACGCTAGCTTGTTGTGACAGAACTTTTAACTTTAATTGTCAGTAAATTCTGTATATCACCTGACGACATGCAGAAGGTTTTAATATTTCTTCTGATCCCACTGACTAAATACCTTTTAGAAAGGGGTTTGTGTTTCCCATGTGTCACAGAGTGATGACATCCCCAGGTTTACCCAGTTTCCTGGCTCTTTTGGCTTCAGGTGTATGGAACTTCTGTCAGGCCTCACACATTGTCAACACACAGTCAACTGGACACATATCACTTTGGATTTCTTGCCGTTCAGTAATATTACCTTAGATGGGCAGAGAGGAGACCTCATTCTAGTCTAATTCCAGAATAATTCCAAACAGTCAGTTCAGTCATTCTTCTCTACATCAGTCACAAGCCGTCTTCTATTCTGAAACACAGAATTATTAAACTGTATTAGAAAAAGTTGCTTGTTGCAAAGCACGTTCATTTTTCTGAGTAAAAAATAACATTAAAGGACAGAATCCTCTCTCTTTCACTTTATGTGCAATACACTAATGCATATGTGTGTGCTTATCTACTGAGAGAAAATATATCTTTCAGTTTATAGATAGCAGGGCACAAAAATAATGACATTATTTTATGTTTCAGGTAATTTTCTCTTTAACATAGTTGTTATAACAAATGTATATATATATAGTAGCAAGAGAGCACATGAAGTAGCATTATCAAATGGTCCGAGTGTGGGAATGGGCACCAGGAAACCGTGGATCTTAATCCCAGCTGTGACACTGACTTGCTCCAAGACTTCAGGCAAATCATTCTACCTCTCTTGGGCTCATTACCTCTGTAAAATGGGGAAAACAAGGATGATATACTCCCTGCCACATTCCCTCTTGTGGAGCATATTAAGATAATAAAAAAGGTTATAGTTACACTGAGGTAAGTGCTAGATATTATATTAATAAAGGTTAACACAATAGACTTCTTTAAAAATACATTTACTGTGCACAAAAATCAAATGAGAATATGAAATGCAGTGAAGTGAATAATTAGTAAATAAAAGAATGAACCTGTTAATATAACAGGTTTTTCCTGTCATCAATCCATCTCAAAACTCCCATTGACAGCCATGGGAGTTCCATATGTGGAACAATGGCATGAAAGATGGCATTAAGCTCCAAGTCTTTCCTACAGCCCCCCATCTAAATAACTTTGCTGGGTGCTGGGGAATTCTGGAGGGGCAAGCAAAATCTGTTTGTCTTAGATTTCTATATGGTGTCTGTTACCATATCATCAAATGAAGTCCCAGAATAGTTGGTATCTAAGCAACTTGAGGTGCTTACATACCTTCAAAAATCTGATATGCCAATGATATACCTGAGATACATTAATGATATCATCATCCTCTGGCCACAAAACCTAAACTCCCTCAGAGACTTCCACCACAACTTTAACCACCACCATCCATCCATCAAACTCTCTTTAGAATACTCCTGCATCAGCTTCCTGGACACCATGATCAACTTCAGCAATGGAACCCTACAGACAGCTATACACAAGAAACCAACAGATCACCACACTTACCTCCACAGATCCAGTAACCACTTCAGATACACCAAGAAATCTGTTATCTACAGCCACACACTCAGATTGCACAGAATATGCTCCAAGGAGAAAGTCCGGGATATATGCCATAACACACTTAAAATCACCTCCACCAACCAAGGACACTCCACCAGAGAAGTAGATCACATAATGGAACAAGCCTCCCAGATGTCCCAAGAGAATCTGCTTCAATATGAAAAAAAAAAAAAAGAAAGAAAGAAACACACCACTCCGGCCCTATACATCTTATTGTCACCTACCATCCCACACTGGAATCCATATGGGGTTATCATTAAACAGTTACAACCCATACTCAATGGAGACCACATCATGAAAGAAATCTTTCCTGAACCCTCTCCTCTGGTCTTCAATGGACCCCCCAGCCTCACCAAGCTGATCATCAGAAGCAATCTCCCCACAGACCAGAACACACAAACTCAAAGCAACAGTAGATCCTACCATAACAACAAAAGCAAAACCTGCAGACATATCTCCACTACTACCACACCCCCCTTAACCCACTTTCAAGATCCATGGGTCCTACACATACCTATCACAATACATAGTGTACCTCATCCAATGCATCAAATAATCCATCAACAACTATGTGGATAAAACTGACAATCACTACGCTCTCTACAAACTCACACAGAATAATTATAAAAGACAAAAACACCCTTTCACCCATGGGCAAACACATTTTAAAAACTGATCATCCATATCTGACCTCTCATTCCTTGTCTTAAAAGAAGACACCTTCAAAAGTAATCCTGGGAATTTTAATTGATAATTCTGCTAGACACCAAAAATCATGAGTTCAACAGAGACACAGAGGTTTTATGGCTCATTACAACAAATTGTAACCGTCCTTTGTTCTATGACTGAAAAGGTGTTAATTGCCTACTGTACTCTAACTGGCCACCAGCAACTTGTGTTAACCCATTATGCTTAACAATCTTTCCCACCTAGTATTTAATGTGATACTCTGATTACTTTTCCCAAACCTAAAGAAGAGCTCTTTCTAAACTCCAAAGCTTGTCTCTGAAATTGGTCTAATAGAAGATCTCACCTTACCCACCTCAACTCTTCAAAAAATCTGGCCCTTTGTGTCCTTTCACTACACATGCAGTGGAACCACATGGTCCTACTGTGTCAATAGGGGAGTGTTTGGGCTTAAATAGGTAGCACACTTCAGAGTAACAAGAAAAAGAAAGAAAGAAAAGACTGCAGGAATAAATCTGTAAAATCACTTAATTTTTGGTGTCTCAACCCAAAATGTAACATATTCTGTACAAAACAGGCCTCTTAAATGGGAGGCAGTGAAGTCCAGTAACTATGCCATTAGACCTGGGCTCTCTTCCTTGGTTTGGGCACTGGCCTAGAAGTTGGGAGACAAAGGTTCAATTCTCTACTCTGCCACAGACTTCCTGTATGATCTTGGGCAAGTCACTTAGGCTCTGCATGCCTCAGTTTCCCATCAGTAAAAATGGGGATAATAGCACTTCCCTACCTCACAAGAGAGTTCTGAGGAGAAATACATGTAAAGATTCTGAAGCACTTTGAGAGCTACCAATGAAAGATGTTATATAAGAGCAAAGTAGTATTATTTTGCTGTGCTTTGGGAGAAATAAATCACGTCTCAGTTTCCCACCGGAAAAATAGGGGTAAGGATACCTTCCTTTGTAAAGCACTTTGAGACCTTGTAGGGAGCCAGGGTGGCTTCCCTCCGAACCAGAGGGTAAAGAGCCACCCTCTCAGCCTGAGTGGGCGGGGCCAGATCAAGCTTCCACCAATCCCCGGAAGGGGAGGGGTGGGACAGGAAGTACAAAGGGCAGGGCCCTTCCTCCAGTGAGGAGAGCACCAGGGAGGGAGACAGACACAGGCTGCTCCCTCCTGATCTTGCTGCTGTCCCAGGGGAGGCCCTGGGCCAGGAGGAACCTGACCGGGAGGAAGGCCTGTGGCAACCAGGACTGCCAGCCGCTGAGGACCTGGAGGGGCCCGGCTGTAGCCCGGGCCAGCGTGAGTCCGACACAGAGGGGGAGCTGGAGCTGCCAGCAGCGGAATACCCGGATGAGCTGGAGGGACCAGAGAGACCCGCTTGAGAGACCGGGTAGGAAGTAGCCTGGGGCAGAACTGCACTGTGGGGTGGGTATGTTTAGTCAGCGAGTGTGGATGGCCCCCTACTGACCCAGGGCCGGGACCTTTGCCTCCCGCCACTGTCAGGGCCCTGGGCTGGAACGCAGCAGAGGTGCGTAGGCCTGTGTTTCCCTACCCCGGCCAACCTGCCTTGGGTAGCAGAACTGTGCGCCGCAGACTCGGGCCGGCACTCCCCCCCTGCCCGTGGGGCGCGCCGCAGACTCGGGCCGGCGCTCCCCCCCTGCCCGCGGGGCGCGCCGCAGACTCGGGCCGGCGCTCCCCCCTGCCCTGCTAATTCCCCAGCACCCGAAAGGTGTGACTAAGGCCTGCCAGTGGAACCGTAGCTCTCCATCGTCCCCTAGGGGCTTGGAGGACCGACGGAAACCTGTCACAGACCTACAAACAAAAGTGTGTTATATCCAAGTTAAAGATTATTTATCTCAATACATCTGAAAAGATTAGAGATGGATTTGTAAATGAACAACATTTGTATATAGGAAAGTCAAGCATTTAAAAAAAAATTTCCTATAGCAATATTTTGTAGCACAAGATAGTGCACAGTACTGTATTGATGAAGGGGAAATCCTGCCTTCCTTCCTTATGGCCACAGAAGACTAACTACAACTCTGTGTGATCCCTCCCATCTTTGAGAGCTGCTCCTCCTACTACTTTGGTCAAATAGACTAGGCCCTTTCACACGCACTGAATAATCACACAAAGTAAAAGCAAATTATGACAATTAACTGTGGTCCACAGCTGAGAGTAGGAAGTAGCACTACAAAAATCATATATATGCAGGAAAACTTAAGTTTTTTCATAAAACACTTTCTTGTCTGGGTTTGAGTAGTCTGAGTAATGTCAGAAAATACACATACCTTGGCCTAGGACATCTTTAAGAAAAATGTTCATTTAACAATGTTTTATTATATATCACTGAATAAAGTCATAACACAATATTGCATTTGAATACTGTTTTGACATAAGAACATTTGGTTATAATGTTCTATATAGTCACATACAGAATAGATAAATTGTATTTATTATATTATTAGTAAAGAAAAGGAGTACTTGTGGCACCTCGGAGACTAACCAATTTATTTGAGCATAAGCTTTCATGAGCTACATCCGATGAAGTGAGCTGTAGCTCACGAAAGCTTATGCTCAAATAAATTGGTTAGTCTCTAAGGTGCCACAAGTCCTCCTTTTCTTTTTGCGAATACAGACTAACACGGCTGTTACTCTGAAACCTGTATATTATTAGTGTTAACATTTCCTAACTACTATCATACACTGTGTGAAAAAGAAAAAATATTTTAACCAAGGTTTTATGGAAAAAGATTCACCATTTTGCTCTGGGATATGTTGCACACTCAAAATATTGCCTTTCTACGAAATTTATGTACCATGAGTTTGATTTACAAAGTATGTAATACAGTAACAAGAGATCCAAAATATTTCTTAGAAGTTGTAGTGCTATTCTAGCTATTTTTAAAATATTTTTCTTTGTGGGTTTTGGCAAGTAAATTGGAGATGGAAAAAACCCAACAACAACACATGTAACTAAAAAAGTGGTATCAATTCTTCATACACTAATTTGCCTGTTGTGTATTTTAGATTGTAAGCCCCCCAAGGCCGGGATTGTGTCTTTTTTGCGTTTACATAATGCCCATAATAATAATAATTTGT